TATATATATATATATACAATTTGACTATGACTTTCCGCTAGAGAAAAAAAAAACACGATTAAGGACGAATAAGCTTAATTGGCTTCAAATTTCTTATTTTAAAACAAGGGCAGTCCGATGGAATCAAACACTAGAAAAATATTATTAAATTAAAATTTGTTCGATTGCATTAAAAAAGGAAATTATAAAGATTGGATGAAAGAAAAGGCGGTCTCTTGCCTAAAATTGACGACTCAATTTTGCGTTTTTCGGCTCTTTTTTCGGCTGTCGGAATGAAAAATCGACACCGCCTCAATCCGGAAAAGAAATGAGATGGAATTTTCTTCATCCCGCCGAAAAAACCCATTTTCTCGGAAAATTTTCTAGGTCCGACTAACGATGTGAAATATAAAGCAGCTCCCTTTCAGACAAAAATTCAAAATGTACCCTATTTCGTTGTTTTTTTCTCTTCAATTTGTAACTCGTAGTATTTTTGAGCAATTTGCAATTTGTCAATCGATTAATCGATAATTCAGAAGATCAGAAAAATGAGCAATAATGACAGCGGACATTCATCAATGCTAACCGGCTCGTTATTTATAGTGCGAAAACTATCCGAGGCGTTTTTCAATGCACAACATGGCGACAAAATAGGTGAGTCTTGGGGAATTAATATGTCCGAAACACTCGTCGAACCAATACACGAAAGGGACACAATGAAACTTTTCTTGTTCCATCAATTAATTTTATATCTTTTTTTAATGACTCCCTTAATTTTTATCGACTTTAAGTTCCGAGTAATGAAAGTTTCGATAGATTTAAAGATCGACAAAAATCGTTTTTTTTTCGACAAATTTCACATTCCTCAACAGTTTCTCATAGCGATTGTGTGTGGGCGCTGGGTCCCGTCACCTTCATCAAAAATTTCGGCAATAAAATTTTTCATCAATTTTTATGGAACATTAAACAAGTTCCGTATTTAATTTTTGGTCCGTCATATTCTGCATAATGTTCAGATTCTCAAAATCCAATTTTTGTTTGTCTACGAATATGGGAATTTTATGAAAAAGGCGAGAAAAATCACAGAAAAATGGATGAAAGAGAAAACTTTTTTCGGCGTGTTAATTTTGGCAATTATGTGGACACACCCCACGTGAGCATCTCCAACTTATTCTGTATCTCGTTCTTCTTCATTTTCCTCTTCTTCATTATTCTTCTTTTTCTTCTTCATGTATGCATTGAAAAAATAGTCTTCGTTTTTTAAAAATTTCTTGCTGATTTACATTTTTTCTCTTCGATGAGCCCACATCGAGCCCATTCATCGAGAAATTGCGATAAATTTACGCCGAAATAAATACCGTTTACTTTTGACGGAAAATTGAAAATGTTTCGCCAATCTAATGAGTAGAATTTATATCAAATAATTTTTTAATGACCGCAGAAGCTTTTGAGAGGTTTCCTTAATTAAATAAGAGTTTTTTTGAAATGTCGATATTCCAAGTATCTTACTATTTTCGCAAGCTTCCCGACCTCAATTGTGCTCGCGGTTACTTAACTCATTGTATTTTTCCAGTCAACCGAGTATTTTAAGTGAGAGAGAATGAGTCAAAGAGACGTAGTAAGAGAATTTTTAATTTCTCTCGTGGGATTTTTCCTGGTGCCCTCCAATGGGCCCCACGGCAATGAAGTAAGATGAAAATGAGGTTCGTCTGTTTTTTGCTGTCTTTCATCGCGTAAAAAAGAATGAAATTCAAAAGTTTTCCTGCTCGAAATTCATGTATCTTTTTTATTCTTACTCGCTTCATATAAACAGGTTTGCTCTTTTCACATCGCTAATTAGTGAAACACTTTTATTTTCTGGTTATTTTCATTGGTCTCGTCTTGTGTGAACTTGCCAATGCATACAAAATGCAATTTCCATGTTCATGTGTTCCTTCAAAGGGCATTTCGTTTTCTCATTTTGGCAAAGTGAGCCCTACAACCAGGCTGGCTGAAAAACTTTTTTGTGTACGAAGAAGTGCAAGAGAAGACAATTTTGAGAAATTTTTTTCGAGCGTGACGACACGCTCACAAACGCGTATATATATATACCCAATAGGGGCCCAGCCTAACTAGAACATGATGCATATTTCTTTGTTGGAAAATGTACGTAATCCAATTTATACCGGACGTTTTGGGTCTCGTGAGACGTGAATAAAAACCAAGTAAACCATTTTGAGTTGGTACTTATTCAAGGAAAAATCTGAACGGAAGGTAGCAAAATTTTAAACAAAATTAGAAAAAGAGAATCAAATTTCGAGCGAAATGCTCGCAGTAATATTGAATTGCACATTTCTCATCAAATTTATCGAGCCTTTTTTTTCGAAATTTGATATACATGTCGCTCTTCGTTATTTTCGATCTGCAGCGCAATCCTCGTTTTATTCATTGCAATTATTCCCCCCTCCCCCTATTTCATTTGTTTTCATTTTTTCTAGGAAGATCACAATTCTTAATGAATTTTTGCGTCGAATCTCCAAGTTTGCAGTATTAAATTGGAAAAAATGTAGATATTTTCCCAATTTCCGGTTTTTTCACATGCTCTATATGCGTTTTAGGCGCACAATGCGCATTTACATTTGTCTACGCTACGTAGAATCCCAATCAATGTGTTCCAGGTAAACACGGCATTACTTTTATTTCGTTTCTAATTTTGCTATGTTTCTGCTTATAAAAATGATGTTGATTATGTTTTGAACGAAAAAAATACTCTTCAAAGTGTTTCAAAGATAATATTGATTTCAAAATTGTTCATCAACGTCATTTTTTTGTAATTCAAAGGTGTCCGAATTGAAGGATGTGACAAGCATAAAGACGTTTTTCTCAACTTTCATGATGAGAATATGCAAATGTTGGAGCTCATAAAATATGTGGAATCAAGTTTCCCTGAATCGAGACGAGGATAAATGCAAATGTAGTTCTTTCATGAATGAAAAAAAAGGAAAATCGTTTATTTTTTGGCCGACGATTTTTTCGTCGTTGCCGTCGTCACCGCTCGCGAAATTTTCGACAAGACGAAAAGACGCGAATTCTTCTTTCCTTCAGCAACCATCATGCATATTTCATTCATCATTTGTTCGTGTTTTAATTCGATTTTCGTTTCCGCCGCCGTCTCCTGTCTTTTTATTTTCATTATTGTTTTAGACGTCGGATGAATATAATTGAATTTTGTTCGTCTTGCGGCTCTCCTCAGAGACAACAATAGATACGTATTATGCCAATAAACTTGTACAATGAAGATCGTAAGTTTTGCATAAATTTTACAAAACGGCCTCATTAAGTGCGGAATTTGAATCACTAGCATTCATAGAAATACTGGATATGTTAATAATCACTGGCAAACTCGAACTCGCAAACATTGCGTAGGGCAGCGAATCTTTCCGACTGCGCTATGTCAGCGCCTCTCCTTACGATGAGCGACCATACAATGTATAGGAGAGTGAAGCGCTGCTTGTGATCGCCGTAGATTTTCGCTTTGCCACTTTGAGAATGCAATAAAAAGTCGAGAGTTTTATCCTTCCTTTTTTATTCCTTTGTCATTCTCTATCCATTTGAAAGATATGCATCGTTCGCTAAAGCTATTACTCTCCAAAAAGCTTGATGGTAGGTGCATTGCAGATTAGGAAAGTTGAAAATGTGTAACATTCTTGACAATTCCGTTTATGACCAATTGTTTCGACGATAGAGGAGTTTCGACGTATTATCACATTTTGTTCATTATTTGATTAGAACGTGTACTCGTTTCGCACAATAATCAATAATTTGAGAAGCATCATTTCGTTGTGTTTGAGAGGGGAGTGTCCTCATATGTGCGTGGGCCTACCTCCAATCAAAATTTAATTGGTTATTTTATGATCGAAGGTGTTGTCAATTTTAATCCGTTTCTTTTTATTTTTTTATTTGTTTCTCGTTTTCTAGAAAATGTCTCGAAACTGACACAGTGTTCAAAGCACTGTTATTGCACTGGACGGACGAATTTAAAGAAATGAATAAAATCAGGCTGTCATTTATAAGGACCCCTAAAACCAAGTGAGTTCAGACTCCGCCCAATGACAGTTTTGCTTATTAATTTCATAAAATAATAATTTTCATAATGCGACAGCTTGGAAATTCAATAATCGCAACACTGAGCGCGCCTTTAATGTATAATGTAGTTTTGAATGTATTTTATTATTAATTACATAAAAATGTCAGTAAGAAAATCGAAAATTTAAACACAAGATTCAAATTCGTTTGTCCTTGACAATAATTGTCTATAGATCTTCTTAGAAAACTAAAAAAAAAACTTTCAAAAAAATTTATATGAGTTCTTATCAGAATTATCTTTCCTTCCGGATTGAGTAATTTAACTGAGAAGAGTACCGCCTACAGTATGACTCGAATGATTAAGAGCTTTCAACTTGATGGCCGACAATTGTGAAGTAGTTCATGTTTTTGAGTGGCCGAACTTTCAATTCGCATCTTCGAAATAATCAAATTGTATCCACTGTACTACCGTTTTCTTAAATTCATTGTCGACGACGGAAAATTGGATAAATGCCAAAAATTAGGTTTGGTCTTAAAAATTTGATTCTTTTTGTTTTTGAAAATCTGACAAATCTTGATTTCGTTTGTTTCCATTTCTGTAGTAGATCAAACACACACACACACACACTCTCTCTCTCTCTCTCTCAAAAAAGCAACAATTTGAAAGAAAACATCGAAGAGGTATCCGACATGAAAATCAATAATGTGCTGTTGAGCGCCGTCATGGCCTAATTTTGCGTAGAAGCCAGAAAAAGAAAGAAATTTTGGTGCGTGTGTATATAAGAGGAGAGTTTTTTTTTCGTTCTTTCTGCTCCTCGTCGTCGTCTGCTCTCTCTCCGCATCGTTGTCCCTCTAATCCGGCCATTACGTATATCAGAGGCATTTGAAATAAGTCTCATTTTGCGCCCCGATTTTTTCTTGCCTTCCTCCTTCAATTCGAAGTTCGGCTTCGCCAAATGCTTGCCAAGAAGCATTCGATGGAACACCGGCGGTCAATTGCCACCACGACCACATCGACGACAGCTTCTTCGAGCGTATTCAGTCTATCAAATATTGCGAACAATATCAATAACAACAGTAATCATGGCTCAAGTTCGTTTGATCTCGGTTCAATTCCCGATATTCCGAGACGTATTCCTCCGAGAATTGGTTTACTTCGCCACTTGTCAGGGTTTCTGGAATCAAAACGAGGTAGTTGCCATTCGAAAATCGAATTCTAAACAAATGGAACATTCACATATTTTAATTATTTAAATATTACTTCATTAGAAATTTGGTTTATGGGGATACTTTGCAGTAAAAGTAATTAGATTTCAAAAGCAAACGCGCACAGAAATGGATTGTTTTTGGCATTCGTGTATATTTTTCGGAACACTCGTCGTGTTTTTGGCGGCAGAGACTAAGAAATTTCGCTAAAACCAAACTATCCCAATTTGAGCACGTGCCAAATTACAGATCTCATGAATGATTGGGAAATCGGTGGCACGCAGAACAAATGGGTTTGTCCAAGCGATCGGCATCTTCAATTAAGAGCACAGTACGTTTTTTTTTTAATTTTCGGATTTGTGTTTATTCGAGTGTCTAAATAATTAGGAGTTTTCTCGTAGAATAATTCTTGAAATATCATATTTTTGACGATCTCTTCTTCTCTGAAATTCGAACCTTGTTTCCCCGATGAATTATTGACGCTTCGAAATTTAAGATATGGAGACACGCGACATTGCGTAACTTCATTATATCTTTTATTTAAACGTTTTCAAGATTGAAATCTGGCTGGTCAAATCGAACAGCGACTGCTCGTTCGCCGACAAATTCCAAAGGTCAAAATGGAATCATCAGCGATGCTGAGCAAGAGCATATTCGGCAGGTGCTCGCCAAAGCCGAGGAGAGCCGTCAAAAAGAACAGCAACGAATTGGGTAAGACATGCTTCTCATAAATCAGATTTTTCGACTTATTCTTCTGACAGAATAAACCAATTCATTTCACTTCCAGTATTCGACATTTTAGCAGGCAAAAATTGTTAGCGAAAGCGATTTCACCATTGATTCCACTTAATATATTTTCGAACTCGACCAATCGCTTAATATTGTAGGAAAATGGTGGATCGTCTAGAAAAAATGAGGCGACGTGCGACTGGCAACGGCGTCACACACTGCCTCTTATGTCATACCGAATTTGGGCTTCTAGCTTCTAAAAGCTACGCAGCAATGTGTGTAGATTGTCGAAAGGTATGTCAAATATTTTAGAAGTTTTAGCACAAGCTTGTATTTTAGTATGTCTGCCAACGGAATTGTGGAGTCGAAACTCAGGATCCGTCTCGTGGTGGAGAGCTTGTGTTTCTGTGCAAGATTTGCGCGGAAGCCAGAGAGGTGGTTAGTGGTTTCTTGCCTGGGTGTCAATCTATTCTATTTCAATTTTTCCAATTCTCAAATTTTCAATTTTCGTTTTTACCCACTGACTTGTAAGTTATTCACTGAAAAAAACCATTCATTCGTAGTAACTTTTCTAACATATTCCAATGTGTTGATCTTTCAAAAAAAAAAACATATTTGCTTGGCTGCCTTTTCAATTTTCCAAAATGTAATTGATGCACGATTTCTCGTCTCAATCCTTTTTTTGGTGTCGCAATTTTTTGTATACTATGCTATTAAGTGTTAAATATGACATTCAATAAGTATAATTTTTGCAGTTATGGAAAAAGTCAGGAGCGTGGTTCTACAAGGAGATGCCAGACTTTCAAAGGCCCGACATGATTTCCGGGCCTAGCACGAGCTATGCAAATGGCTCCGCAATTATGATGGCGAGCCCACCAATTGCAATTCCACCAACCGGGATGAGCTCTCCTCGTCAGCCTTCTTGGGCAATGAGTCAGACGTCGAGTCCTGTTCCCAGTGGAAGTCCGGTGGCAGTTCCACGGCGGCCTACAAATGAAGTACCAAGGTAATTAGTTTGACAATCGTTTTCGAAATGTGTATGTGAGCTTTGTATTATAGCACGAGCCGAGCAAGTATCTGTTCCATGCTTCAAGCCATCGAGCAGCCTGAAAGGTCCTTTTTTGCTTCTTTTTTAATCAGTTTTTCCATTTTGAAATTAATTGAGTGATTTTGTTAATAACGCACTTTTTTCAGATCAAAATCTCCACGACCGCGAATTCAGCCAAGTTGGGTCAAAGAGAAAGTGATGAGCAGTATGTCAATTGATGATGAAGAAAAAGCGGTGTCTTCGGATGGCGAAAGTAGTTTCGCACAATCAGGAATTATACGAAGACCGCCAAAAAGTTCGAATAATCAAACAACAATACCGAATAGAAGAGAAGCTAATCTCGCTAGATTCGCAATGAACGCGGGTACCATTTATGACAGCGGTGAGATTCAATCGAAATGAATATTCTAGGCGTTTATAACGCTGTTTTTTTCTAGAAGATGATTCGTCTCCCGAATCACACGCATCAACCCGATCGACAACTTCTCCCCGAAGAAGTCTCGCAACGCCTTGTTCGTACGACGCCAGCGCCACGCAAGATATTAATCAACACGACGACGTAAGAAGCATTGACAGCGGAGGTAACGACAGTCAGTTTTTATTTATATTCCTTTTTAGTTATTTTATTTCAATTTTTTTTTGTTTTGTCTCCACGCTCTTTTCTTTTTCATTTCCAGTTGTTCAATCAGACCATTCAAATCCGCAACAAGGTGCCCTCACGCTGTCATCATCTTCACTTACACCAATCACACAGTCCCATAACAACAATCAATGCGAATCGCCAAGACGAGTATCGAACGCCGAACCATCTTCACCAAATGTTACCCAAAGTTTATCGGGTTGCTTAAAACAATAATTATAGTCATTTTAATTCGAAGAATTTGCAGGAATTTCTTTAGTAACACCACCACCATTGCCTTCACGGACCTCGCCTAGTCCAGATCATAAAATGAGCAGCGGAAGCTCTGCGAGCAGCAATGTCAGCACGAAGAAAGTAGAACCACAATATGCATTGAGCTCAATATTTAACAGTTCGGCTGCTCCGATGAGCTCTCCTGATGAAGAACCAAGTATGGGGGTTTTATTTAATTTGTGTCAACAAAATGATTGAAGTGGAATATGTGCTATGGGTTTTCTTCTCATCTTTAATCTGGTGTGCTTTATTTCAGAGCTGAAAAGTACGCGCCGAAACGTAGTGAATCGCATCAATTCACTTCAGCTCCGTACATCTCTAGATGAAGTGCCGACAACGCCAAAACCAGTTGTGACGTCTTCTTCTGAGGCCAGATTCCAGCCGGAATCAGAAACCGCCGACGCTGAAGTGACGCCGACAATTCAGCGTCGAAAAAAATCGGCCGAGGTCGCTCCGTCGATGGCTGAAGAATCGGCGACGACCTCGACATGTGATCCGGGTGCGGCTCCCAGATTCTCATCGCGTGCTCGTGTTTCGTCGTTGGTGTCGTGTTTTTGCATGCGTAAATTGAATCGTGAGATTTTGCTCGTTTTTGCTTGATTTTAACATTTCTAAAGTGTTCGTCAATGCACAACTTCGCGTCGAGATCTTTCCAAATACGTTTAAATTGGTTTTTTTATTACTCTTGCAGATGAATTTTAGTTTTCATTCAGTTCAGTTGCAAACAAAAAAAAGTTAAATTACTCTATTGCACCACACATTACATTGCATGCCGTCGTTGTTTTCAATTCAATTGAATTTTCATCACATATTCAGGCTCCCTTGGGTCGATTCAATTCAATTTAACGTATCATACTCATGAGAAGAAGCTTGTCGTCCATTTAATTCGTGGCAAGAATCTGAAAGCAATGGATTCAAATGGATTCTCTGATCCCTATGTTAAGCTTCATCTTCTACCGGGTATTGCGAAGGTGTGTAATTCGCCGATTAAAATTTTCAATTAAAATTTGAATTTAGGCAACCAAGTTGACATCGAAAACAATTGAAAAGACATTAAATCCCGAATGGAACGAAGAATTGGTTTACTATGGAATAACGGAAGAGGATAAGCAAAAGAAAACATTGAGGATTACCGTACTCGATAGGGATCGAATCGGATCAGATTTTCTTGGAGAGACTCGTGTCGCATTGCGGAAACTTCCAAACAATACGACGAAAAAATACAATTTGTATTTGGAACATGCAATTCCTGTAGGAAATTTATTTCCAAATCATTGATTTTTATATTAAAACATTAAGGTTCCCGCTCAAACGAAGCAAAGCGAAGAGGAAGAGCGCGGAAAAATTCACGTCGGACTTCAGTACAACATTCAGCAGGGTTCGCTGTTTGTTCACATCAACCGTTGCGTCGAACTGATTGGAATGGATTCCACTGGATTTTCGGATCCATATTGCAAAGTGTCACTAACTCCAATTACTTCTAAAGCACATCGACAAAGGACTTCTATTAAAAAACGAACTTTAAATCCCGAATTCAATGAGGTTTTTGCAGTTTGCGGTGTTCATCTAACAAAATCGACTTTTAGACAATTCAATTTGTGGTCCCTTTCAAAGACTTACCTAAAAAGACGCTTCAAATTGGAGTCTACGACCATGATTTAGGCAAACACGATGATTACATCGGTAGGCTATCTAAAACTGACGATAATCTGTAGTCGATTACAGGCGGAATTCTTCTTTCGGCATCTGCCAAGGACGAGCGTGGCCTTCAATGGATAAAATGTATTGAAAATCCAGGAACACTCGTCGAAAATTGGCATAAGCTCGAACTCGATAGTTAATTATGCTATATATAATACTACACGTCATAATTGTTTTGTTTTTAGTGCCTGTCCCCAAAATCGTTAAAATCACATCCGCAGTCCCAAATCAATCTTTTCATGTTTATTTCGGGTTTTAATTGGTATCACGAAATCAGAGTATACATTTTGAATTTCTATTTCTGCCCATTTCTAAATCGCATATACTGGTCGATACTGGTCATATTATAATAACGTTTAGGTCGAGTAAATTTTTTTTCAAGTAATGTTTAATTTTATAAATCAAGTTAGGTTTACAGTGTTAATTTTAGGAACCGAGACATACGGTCGAGATCGCAAACTCAAAAAACTTAATTGCAAATGGTTATTTTAAATTATGCATTATTTACTTCGCCCTCGTCTTTTTGGCGGGAGTTGATTTGGGTGTGTCCTTAGATTTATCTCCAGCGCGTTTCTTGTCGGCTCCATTATTTGATGGTTTTACATCGGATAAATCACCCATTTCTTTTTCAATTAACGTAATCAGAGTGTTGCAACGTCTTTGGAGTTCCTAAAGATTCAATTTGTTTTCTTGTTTGTACGTTTTTAGAAAACGAAAAATTAGTTCAGAAGGCGAACTCGATTATTCACAAAAAACTTACTACTGCCGTTCGACTTTTCAAGAACCAGTCAAATCGAAACTGTGGAGCATTTCTTACAGATTGGCGCACTTCCTCATACACATTTTCTTTATCAAATCCTAATCGATGTGTTTCGCACACCAAAAATCTGGAAATTACAAGGTAGCGACTTTCTTCCCAACATTCCACCTACCTATCCTCTTCTTCAGTATAGGTTTTTCCTTTATTTGTGCCATAAGAAATTCGTAATTGATGGAATGGGGCCTTATACTTGGCGATTTTCGCATCAAGAGCTTTCTTTACGGCGTGACGGCGTTGAATTCTAGCTTCACCCTTTTCAATCTGGCTCAGAATTTTTTCGGAGTCTTGGAGTTCATTGAAACGCTTCCAAAATATTTTCGCATAGTTCTGAATTTCCGAAACTGGTCTATCCATTTCCTTAGCAATATTCTCATAGTCATTCCTTCCATACTTTTCATTTCCCTAAAAAGAAATCAGAAATAATATAAATACAACAATAATTGTAACGTACTCGAACAAAGGCTTGGAATTCTCGTTTAGACCAATCAGTTACACCTTGAGTTAAAAGTTGGGCTTTTTCCTCCTGTTCAGCTTCAGTAAGTGGTTTCGCATTGTTAATTAGCTTCTGTTCGTCTTGTTGTCGTTTTTCTGCTTCTTTTGGGGGACATCCATTAGGCTTTTCCGCCTGAAACAATAGCATATTTTAATTGAAGATTTTTTCTATACAATAATTAATCGTCATCAATTTACTAACAAAAATTTCAGCCATAATTAAAGATGCATGACATTTATTTATGAAACCCAATTTCCGCTTCATCTATTTCACGTTGAAAACAATCCGTTGCCAAGAGCAACAGACGACTCAATCAGTTAAAATTAGAGAAAAAAGGAAGGGCGTGGCTTATCATATCCGTTTTAAATCTCATCCAAAGCGATGGGAAACATCATTCGCTCGCCAACCTACACAAGATGAGCTCCGATGAAGCTACTCCATTAGATGACAGTAGTCGCGAAATGAGCGATTCGTCTGATGCAATTCAACTACGCAATGTCTTCATAGCAGGTTTCATTCAAAAATCTGCATACAACGTGTAGGGACAGTAGTAATCGGGAAAATCGTGCAGAGTTTACGACTTTTCTAATATGAGTCTACTGAATATCTGCGCAAACTCAGCGACTTTCCCGAGTAATTTTATTTTGTGACAAAAACGTTTCAGTATTCTTAAGTCAATCGTAAACGAATTTTTACCGTACTATTTTGTCTCATGCAATTCACCAAAGTGGCGCGACGCCAACGGACAACCGGCACCATCACGAATTCTATTATCAAATTCCGATGTCTTCATCTTCATTGTCAACGAGTACACCCTTCGAGACTCCAATTGTCTCCTATGCCTACAGTATGCATGGAATTCCTTGATTCCGATTATTATGATTCGACCGCCAATGAGAAAACTAATGATTTCCAATCGATCAGCGGGATCTCGTCAAGAAGATGTCATGTGAGCAGCATCTATATCTCTCACATAATTTACTTTTACAGGGTTCTAAGCGATGGCACAATAGTTAAATCTCCGACGAGCCGACAATCGTGTTCTCCAGATGATAAGGAGTCTGACGTAATTAATTATTCGCTTCTTCAAGACGTCCTGAGCGAAGTAGGTTAAGCGACTTAAATTTCCGAAAAGATTGATTTAGGGCTACAAAATCGCTACACTTTACGATCCTAAAGATCACATAGAAAGTATTGCTAAACTGCGAAGACGTCTCAAGAATCTCTTTGCAAACCTTCCTCCGTCAAGTCGCAGTCCCTATATCAGTTCTCTAAATATCAACCCAACACCTAGTCATCCCCACTTTTATCTGTCTCCGTCGAGCACAAAACTCAATATAGTTAAGCGAAGCGAAGAGAATAAGCGGGGTATTTAAAAATCCAGATTAACGGTCATGATAATCCTCTTGGGTTTCAGTTCGTCACAAATCCCAGAGAAGACGATGCACACATGACACTGCCACTCATCCGTCTCGTCTAAATTTCTCTCAAAGCACCGGTGATTTGAATCGGATTATCCGAACCCCGTATCCAACGAGCCCAAGTTATTTAGGACAAGAAGATGATAGCGATGAGCGTAAAACCAAGAAGATTTTGGTGAAAACATTTTAATCCACAAACGAAAATTAGAAATATTTAGAAAAGTCCCCCACCACCAGAAAGAATTCCGTCGTCAATCGGTGATGCAAGTGATATTGGTGAAATATCGATATTTGAGGCATCTAAATCAAATATGGACGACGAGTGGGGAGATGACGTTGAAGGTGATGAAATCAGTGCAGACCAATTCACAATTCCTCCAGCTACTCCGGTGAGGTAAATTCAAAACTTCGGTTAAAAAATAATTTTTCAAAGACGTGACATTTCAGTTTGAGCTGTCTCGAGGATATGTCAAACTTCCAGAGAACTCAATATATGGTATTTCCAATGCGCGATTCATCGAAGAAACCGTATCTAATCAAATTCCCCGATGATTTACACGAAGAAGAAGAGAAAATTAACGGAAGTATTTGGGGCTCCGACACAAGTTTAGAAGAGGAGTTCAAATTAGCTTCTCAAATAACAGCTGGAATTGTAATCGACGACGCCGAAGACTCGCCGATACAATCACCAGCACCTATATTGGGAGATCTTGTTTAACTATTTACCTTATATCCAATCGACTTTCTAAAGTAATACACTTCTCTGTCGAGCAGTTCCATTAACCTCTTCGGATAAAATTGAAAATCGTAGACTTGTGGAAGCTTCGGTCTTGGAGCTTTCGATTGTTTCTCAACAGGATTTCCAACTCTCATGGCTTCTTTATAATACAAATCAACCTTGAAAAAAAGTAATTTAAAATATTGAGTAAGGAGAACAAAACCTGATAGTTGGCTTTTCTCTCTCTTTTTGGTGGTTCGATCCAGAAATGCCCCATACCATCGTGTTGTTTTTCTTTATAATTTTCTCCTTCGAAGTTATAAACCGTATAATCTTTTTTCGTGTGTTGATTTGTGTCAAACGTCATCGTTCGAAGGCTGTTCTCCTCGAGTGTACTTAATTTTTCATTGAGCTCGGCGGTTTTAACTTCGGCCTTCTGGAGAATAGTATCAATGTCGTCGTCACTGATCGTCGAATCCTTTGCGGCAAACACTTGTTCAGCTCCATGCCGAATCATGCTTATCATGTCGTCTTTTCCAAGAGTTTTCTGTGCTTCCGCCATTCGTCCTTGTTGGATAACGATGTTATCCAGTTTCAACTTCATTTCAGCTTTTTCAATAATTCGTTCGTCAACTGTGTTTTCAGTGATCAAACGAAAGACGCGAACCTGAATTCATAAGTTGTTTGCTTAAAACATGATTTTTCCATATTAAAGTCCCAAATACAACTTTAATGACGAAATAATTGAAGAGGATTTTAACAGATAAAACCATAAATCTAATCTTCTACAAGACATGATAGAAAAACGTTGAATGATTCAATCATCACAAACCTGCTTTTTTTGTCCAATTCTATGAGCTCTATCCATAGCTTGAAGATCACTTTGAGGATTCCAATCCGAATCATAAATAATCACAGCATCAGCAGTTGCCAAGTTGATACCCAATCCACCAGCTCTTGTGGTGAGCATGAATATGAACTTTGATGAATTTGGCGCGTTGTATGCATCGATAGCCTGTTGACGCTCCTCATGCGGTGTGGATCCATCCAAACGACAGTATTCGAATTTTCTCCACCAGCAGTAATCTTCCAAAAGATCGAGCATTCTGGAGAATTGAGAAAAAATCAATACACGTGATCCTTGCTCCTTTAGCTTTTTGAGAAGCTTATCGAGCACAACCATTTTCCCGGAGTTATCAACCAAATGCTGATCGGTGGTGTAGGGTGGACCTGGTTCGGCTCCATCAAATAAATATGGATGATTCACACATTTGCGCAGATGCATGAGTATGTTCATCAATCTAAGATAAAGAATAATACTAAACACAATTCTTATTTGAGTTAAAATACCTGACTTTTTCCACTTTTCCTGCGCCATTGATAACGTCGATATCCTTTAGAAGGACTTTGGTGTACCATTCCCTCTGCATTTTAGACAACCCGACGTAAACTTTAACTTCCTTCTTTGGCAAAAGCGACTTTTCCACGTCCGACTTAATTCTTCTCAAGAGGAATGGTTGAAGAACCTTGTGCAATCTTTTAATAAGGTCTTGATTTCCACTCATTGATTCATTTGAGAACCATGAATCAAAATCGTCGGAGGAAGTGAAAATATCGGGAAGCAAAAAGTTAAGAAGTGCCCACAACTCGTGTAAATTATTTTGCAATGGAGTTCCTGTGATGAGGAGTCGATTTTTCGACTTGAGTTCGCGGACTGTTTCTGATAATTTGCTCTTTTCATTCTTAATACGGTGCGCCTCGTCGATGACAATGTACTTCCAATGCAATTTTCGCAGCTGGGTTTTCGTTTTAAGCATCATTTCGTAAGTTGTGCAGCAAACATCAAAGTGTTGCGGATAAATAACCTCACGAATAACCTGGTTCTGAAAATGTCTCGTAATATGTTAGCATGTACCTTTGCAAAACATACTCTTGCAGTTTCATCGCCGATTAATGAACAAACTCTCATGGAAGGACACCATTTTTCAAACTCGTTCGCCCAATTCCTCAGCGTCGACTTCGGCACAATGACCAGATGTGGTGATCCCATATTTTTGTAATGCTTCATATAACCAAGAAGTGAAATTGTTTGCAATGTTTTTCCAAGGCCCTATGTGCATAAACCGTAATGATGATAAAAATGGATATTTTTACCATTTCGTCAGCCAGGATTCCATTAATTCCGTTATGTTGGAGGGAAACTAACCAATTCAAACCACGAATCTGATAGTCTCTCATTTGGCCATTTTTAATATAAAATGGAGTGCTGTCGAAAATCGTGATGCTATCATCTTTTGTGGCTTCAGCGACCATTTCTTCATCCTCCTCTTTCTCAGTCTTTCGATGTCTATGGTCCCCTTCAGGTCCAACTTCCTTTTTAGCCCTTCCACGCTTTTTCGTTCCTGGCGCTGGTCCAGCTGTTGAGGCAACTAAACTCATACTTGTGTCATACAATACGTTTTAAAAACTTACATTTCGCAGCATCTCCCGTCGATAAGCAATGGGAAAAGTTTTCAGTCTTCGCTAAAAGCAGCTCAAACCTCTTAAATGAGTCCATTCCAAGAGTTGGATCCAACAATTTAGGTTTTTCAGAAGGCTTTTCTTCTTCTTTTTCATCATCATTTTCTTCAAATTCTCTGTCAGATTCGCCTTCATTTTCATTATTACCATCAGAATCTTCTTGATTCTTATCATCTTCTTCTTCAATCCTGTCGTATTCCTCTTCCTCGTGTTTAACCTTAGTAGAAGATGATTTTTCGGTTTCATTATCGCTGTCGTCATTTTTCTTGGTCGCTGGTTCGGAAACCTCCATTGGTTCATCAATCTCCTTATTTTCGAGTTGCTCAGCATCAACTTCAACATTCTTTTCCGACATTTCAACTGAAAAGTAAAAATTTTTGCAACTTTAGACAATCAATATTATCCATTCACTTCTCACTTCAACTTATTAGAAACTATTAATTCAGAAACGCCTATTATAACTAGAATAGTAAAAAGAAATGAAAAAACTAAAAGAATCGAGAAAACGTCAAAATTGGGCCGCTGGTTGTGCGAAGAATGGCGTTCAAGCGGTTAAAATTGGCGGGTAACGACTCTGCGATGCACTACACGCGCAGTTACACCAAATGCGCTCTATTTGACGGGGTCACTTCATCCATAAGTTCATCAGATTCCAACGCGTGACCGATTTTGTTAGTCTCAAGGAACATTTCAGATAAACAAAGCTAAAATCAGAAGGCTACAATTAAATTAGGTTTGGGATAAATGTGATGGTGCTATTCGAAAACATTGACCAGCCGTCTATAAGAGAAAGCTGACACAAAATCGAATAAAAACAGTGGATTTCTTTTATTCCAATCCGATTAGATGTAGACCCTTTTCGTGTTTCTTGTCGCTGTCAACGTGACCTGCATTAACCATTGCTTTCACATTTTTCGAACCAGCACGCTCTGGCCAACTAATTTTTTTCCACCACGGGTTTTGAAACTTCTGCCGGCTTTGTATGCTCGAACAAAATAGCACTGAGGGATGAAGCAAAGGAATTGGTACCAATCCATCGCTCATCGTCGAGCAGCATCCCAGGGGAACGTTTTCTTCAATTTTTTGCGAGAAATATTTCGCTGCGAACACTTAACAACCAAATTTGTACATTATTTTATCGAACATCTTCACAGAATGTTTTTTATCGGAATAAACGTTCATATTTAATTTTTATTAAAATAAACCTTATTAATACCTAATGGTCTTTTCAATGAAACAAATCGATAAAATTGAAGATTTCATCATTCGAATCATTCATTTTTTAAGCATTGTATCCGTATTAACTTGTTCGTTTCTCTTTCATTTCAAATATCTTTTAATTTGATGTTCAGATGACGACGAGCTTTATAAATCGTCCCAAAGTAGGTATGTCACAAATGTATTCATAAATTGTTTATAGTGAAATTATATTGTCGAAAATTCAGATCGCAATCTCCGTCGTTCCACCGAACACGTTGAAATTGTCCCACAAGAAACGTGCGTGCATCATGAATGTAAACATACTAACCTTCGATTTCGCCAATTTGCAAACGTTTTTAGCCCCAGATAGTGTTCTGACTGAATGTGCAACAATTTCGTCTTCTTTCAACACCGTTCCACACACTGTCTCGCCAAGACGTGCCAGTGAAACTGCAGCACCTGCGAACGAAAAATCGAAATTCTCATCAGCGAAGAAGAGCTGAATCAAAGAAGTGCGCTCCGTAAATATATTTATAGACATGATTTGCGGGCTTGTTGTGATTTACAAATCGCTAGTTGAAAGCTAAATTCTTTCCAAATACAATATGTCAATTAAAAAATAAATAGTTTTATTAAGCTTCTGCCAAGGAGACAAACACATGAATGAGTGCAAAAAAGTCGCGGCAAGAACGTACAACAGTTACCGCCCACAATTGCAACGGTAATTGCGCGATAAAACAGAAAATGAGAAGGGCGTTAAAAAACGTTGAAGCATGAAGTGGTCCAGGGCTCGCCAATGTCCAGATTGAGAAAATTAAAAATGCAAAATTCGCAATGAAAGAGAAGAAGCAAAAATAGAAATGAATTTGTAGAATCGTCTAAATTTTGTAGGAGTAAATTAATAAAAACGTTTCCTATGAGCACATTCAAACCTTTTCAAAATTCACCAATGACCTTGCTGTGCCAACGGCAATAATAAACAAAATCTTTAAATAGTCATTTTTCATTTTCAGACGTAACGAATTTTTTCTCACCAGGTCGTATAAAAGAATAGCATAATAAAATGATTGATGTTCGAAGCAGGCGTTCAAAGATTTCGGAATTGGTGACCACAATTTGAAGTCGGCTTTTCCGAATTTTTGTAAGATGAGCAGTGAGGTTACGGCAATATAAATAAGCTGCAAGAAAACAAATCATTTGATAAATTAATTTAGCGACTATTCTGCGAATTGAAAAAAATTTTAGTTGATTACCTCAAAAACGATGACAGTTGTACATCCGCCTCTCACCAAACATGATGATAAACAACACAGGGGCTCTAGTTCCAAATGACGAGATTGAACTCTGAGATTGAGCAAATATAATTAAAATCCCACCGTACACAAACTTTGTATGAATTGGCGCAACTTTGTTAGCTTTCCATTTGTTTCTCAAAATTTGAAGTTTTCTAGCAAAGTTACCAATTTTGTCTCCAACATTCTCAAAATTATTCGCCATTCGCCAATATAAAATGCGTAATGCGTTTGGTGGTGAATCTGAAATTGATGTGCACTTTGACAAAAATCGCTATTTTGACCTGTACCTGCCGAACTTTTCTTGCTCGAGTTTTCATTGCGGGGCTCTTTGACCTTGGGAATTTTCATCGATTTTCGCCCGTTTTGGCCGCCACCGTATGATGGTTGACTGCTCTTAAAAGAGAAAAGAAATGTTAAACTTATCGAAATAATGCGTTTGAATTACCTTTTTCTGAGTTTGGGCACCATTTGTAGCAGTGGTTTTCTTTGTATTCGTTTCTGGTGGAACCCAATATTCAACCATGTTCTGTTCACGATGTCGCGATCTCCAATTATCAGAGTCAGAGAAATATCGGCGATTCTCCTAAAATAATTGATTTTTAACAAAAATACTTATTCAATTGAATTTAAGTTAACAGGAGAAGCTATTTAATTAGCAGCAAATTCTCAAAGTTTCCAAAATGTTAAAAACGGTTAGTGAAGGCATGCAATCATGCTTGCACATGCAACGAAAACCTCATCAATATTATTTGTCGGTTTGAACATTTGAACAGTAGCCAAGCTTGTCAGCAACTTCAGGTTGCCTTGTTGAATTATCTACATTTTCATATTTATCGTTGCAAAATCTCCCCTGATGCCCAGGGTTCTGTAATATTTTTTGAAACAGTATACGTACCTTTTCAAGATTCTCCATTTTTATATAATCAGAACAATATTCTTGCAGAATAAGAGCGAGACAAAAACGGATTGAGGTTTTCCTTGGGTTCGTCGTTCAACCGAATTCTAATATGTTTGGCCTATGCCATTTTCGCGGTTCAAATGCTAAAAGTTTCCGAAAAAAATGGCTCTCGAGTAAAGGCTAAGTGGATTCAAAAAGCCATTATTCACTTCCGGAAAAAAAAACGAAGAAAAAACTAGTAAATGCTCTCGCGAGCTTCTATTAAGTTGTGATTCGTAAAAAACCTTGATAATGGTACTGTCCAAATTAAAAAAGAAATAAACCGGTAAAACTTCCCTTTAAAACTCTCTGAAAATTGCTGGAGAAACTAGTTTTAACCGTTTTTTTTTTTCAATTTTTTAAACTAAAATCTGAATAGCACCATAATTTTGAAAATTATTACGTTTTTTCTTTAATAGCCTCGCAATTTCACATATAATTTTCTGAAACGTGTTTTTTGAATTGCACTTCAGAATTTATTAAATATGCCGAAATGTGTTACTTTGTGATGCTGTGCAATGGTTTAAAAATAGATTTTTTCGCAATCTGTGTAGGGTTTTCGGAGATTTTTTAAAACGGATTTTCCGTTTTTTTTTAAGTTTCTTTTTGCCATATTTTTATAGAATCATCGCATCATTTTGGAATAAAAATTAATTTAAATTATGAAAAACACTGAACAGAATGGAGTTTGAAATGGGAGCATTAGCACACGATGGACTTCAACTGTAATATCGTGTTCAATTCAAGCGAAACGAGTGTTGTGAATCTATCTGAGAAGGTGGGAATGTTGCGTTTTTTACACAAAATGTTGGCCATTGAAATTGCGGGGGTCTGGCATTCCCCCATTGTGCACACAATAAAGGAGAAGCAATTCTGACTTCCATTATTTTGTTTTTTAATTGTTATGGTTTGCAGTTGTTTGTAAAGTAATGAAAACGTTTACTGAGGAGAAGAATTCAGTAAAACCAACCGTATAAATTGCTTCTGGTGTCGTCGGAGTCGATTCGCGTCCCATCTCTTCATTTTCAAGCAAAATGACGCTCCAATGCCGTTCTTCCAAACCATCGTCGATTCCAGAAATTTGCATTTTTGCAAAAATATGGCTTACAAATTGACTAGTTTTGGTTACGCACGCGCTCGACTGGAAAATTATTCGCTAGCTACTTGGCACACAAAGTTTATATTATAAACTATGGAATTGTCGCATCGTTGAGTCTATCCATCTTTCTTAAAAAACTTTGAAAATTCATTGTGTTAACTGTATGCACTTCACTTTGTTTTCAGGCATGTATTTACGCGAGCTCGATTGTTCAATTTTTGCACCAATGCCAATGCCAATGTTCATTGACTCATACTTTTTGACTTGACTCATGATTTTTGACTCATAAAAATTGTATCATGATTTTTTATTCTTTGACTCATGATTTTTGACTAGTGATTTTTGACTAATTTTTTTTTGACTAACAATTTTTGACTAATGATTTTCTGAATTTTTTTTAGTTGAAATTCCTGAAGTTTTTTCAGTATTCAATTCTGTTTTTTTTGGTCAATATTGATGGGTAAGAAGCTGAAGGGTGGGAGGAATTGGGGGACAGATTATTACTGAAAATTAATCAATCATTGAAATTTTCGATAGATCATTATACCGTTAAACCTTTATCAAAATGGTACTTCTAACAAAACAGCCTTCAAAAAACTTCTCAAAGTATAACAATGTGTTATTTTTGCTAAAATAATTTGCAAAATAAATTAATAAAAAATCACTTATCGCGTTATTCCATCCATTTCCCTCCTTTATTCACGCTAAATAATACATGATAGCGAATAAAAACTGTGTTTAGTTGTTTTCATTAAACTAACGGAGACTACTAAAAATATCAAATCATACATACCATTTGGCCCACTACGGATATTCGTTTAATGTTACAGTCGATTCCTTCGGTGGATCCGCTTAGCTGGGAGCCCATCAATATTGGCCAAAAAAAACAGAATTGAATATGAAAAAACTGCAGGAATTTCAACTAAAAAAAATTCAGAAAATCATTAGTCAAAAATTGTTAGTCAAAAAAAAATTAGTCAAAAATCACTAGTCAAAAATCATGAGTCAAAGAATAAAAAATCATGATACAATTTTTATGAGTCAAAAATCATGAGTCAAGTCAAAAAGTATGAGTCAATGAACATTGGCCCACCATCCGAGCGTTCCTCATCCTTTTTTAACGAAGCATTCTGATGAATCAAACATCTCCTGTTGTTTTGACAAAAATAACTATGAATGTAGTTAGGTTTTCAATAGACAATACAGCTAATTTTATAAGAGTCCATTTTCATGTATTTTTGATGCTTCCACCCCCTATATCCATATGATTATTAATAGTGACGCATTAAAGAGATTTAGGAATAGTCTCGCAACGCCAAAACACACATGCACCCAGTTTTTGCCAATCTCATCAATGTTATTAAATTTTGCTCGTCCCAAATATATATATATATATATATATGTGTGTGTTTGTATAAATCCCGTGTAATACATTCATTGCTCCCTCGTGATTTTGTCTCTCTATCCCATATATATGGATAACTTATGGGTTATATTTAATTAGACCCGAAATACGAGCTTTCTATTCGCAATTAGACAACGTAACTTGACCTTATTTTTGTAGATTTTCTTGAAAAGGACACTAATTATGTATTACAATTCTATGAAATGCAGTGATGTCTGAAAATGAATTAAAATTTCTTATGTACGAAATCCTACAATTATTTGATCCGTTTATAAAAAGTTTTTTTTTCATTTTGGCAAAATTATTTCTCACAGAAGAATTGATTAGATTTCAATTTCTCTTATTCTCGAATTGGCTTTTTTGTTTTTTAATTTTTTTTGACTTTCTTGAGTTTTGCAACTGTTTCACTAAAAACGGTTGTTAAAAACCACTTTCGTTTAAATTTTTAATAAACTTCGTGCTTCCAAATGTAGAAATATGAAGTTTTGTTGGAAGCGCTGAAGCACTTGTCGAACCCAAATGAATAATTGAGAACATTGAGCAAATAAAAGAAATTTTTGGGCATTGTTTAAAACAGAGAAAAAAAAGAAGATTCTGGCATATTTGAGTTGGCGCAGATCCAATAATAGACATTCATGAAATATTCAAAGAAAAATATCTTTTGGGTAGTTATTTAAAAAGAAATGTGCACATTGAGGTAGTTGCGTTGAAATATCATTCTTAAGAACAACTAGGACTATTAGGTTGAAAAGACAGTTGAGTTCGTTAACAAATATTTATTAGAAATGCATGGAACCTCTAGATGTGCACATTGGCATTTTGATGACATTTCACAAAAAAAGTAAGTCTTATGAGATTACGGTAACAAACAACACATTCTCAAATATTAATTATCGGTCTTCATTCAGCTTTTTTTAAAAGTCCTCTTGTAACTATGAGAACTGCTCAACAAAAAAAGAACACAGCATTACAAAATATTTGCGTGATAATTGCCCACGAATTGGATTTAACTTCAGAAATTTAAATTCCTCAAGCAATAAGTTGCTCAGAATCTGATCATCCGCCTACAAACGCCTCGAGACTTGCATATGAGTAATCGCATCTATCAGCTTTTGTAGTACCTAACGGAAGCGAAACTCAACGTGCCAGTCACTCTTTCTTCCAATTAATTTTTTTTCCATGTCTCTCGATTGTATGTTCTACATACGTCCAAAAATGAAAACTTTCGTTTCCCAGAAAAATAAAAAAAAATGAACAGTTTCCACTAAACCTCCGGTGCACATCAGAATTTCAAGTTGAACCGACATCGCAGGCGAATGTTGAAAATTTTGAGGCAGCGTTTCGTAGGAATCGTCAAAAATAGTGACCCAAATCTTGATGATCTCGAAAGTTTCATGAATGTAGCGTCTAATAAATGAGACCTTCTTCGTGAATCCTCGGGGGGATGTTGTGGTTGGCGGCACATTAATATTGGTGATTCTGAACATAAAAAATATACACCCCCTTCTTGTTCATTCATAATCCGATTTCTGGTAGTGTAGTACATTTTCAGAAAGAAAACAAAAAACAAATTTTAGTTATATGGACACATGGAAACTTTTTTATGTGCACGCATATATGTAGAAAATACAAGCAAAAAACTGGAGATATTTGGGAGGCCCTCCCCTTTTCCGTTTTCCATCCCTTTTGCGCGGGTTTTTTGTGTGCACATTTGTGTTGTGCTATTCCTTGTCACTCAGATTTTTTGCATTCCCATTCGTTCCGGACTGGGCTTTCAACAACGCCCCCCCCCCCTCCTTCTCTGTTTTTGTAATTAAAATCTGTATATGATGCAGCCACGGTTTATAATTTAATCTTCGCCGAATCCTCGCCTTATCCATCCATTCATCTCGAGACATGTCTGAAATGTCTGTGTGGTTTTGAAGTGTCCTCGTCAAAGAATGTGCCAATCTTATCAAGTGTAATTGTCTGTGTTGGTTATCGGAACAAAAAATGTCGAAACAGCTGTGTGTCTGATATCCCGCAGCCGGTATCCTCTTTCCGCAACACACACTCACGCACAAGCTCATCACATTTCCAACTCATTCATATACATTCGCAATCAACTCCCTTTTTTCGATTCATTTCTCACTATTTTCAGCTACACCACAATCGTCGGCTGAAATTTCATTTCGGCCTTCACAAAAGATTTCAGTGTTGTTTTTTTTTTGCGCAGTATCCGCCGCAAACTAATATTTTTAACTAATTTAAAACTGCTCTATTTTTTCCGTCGAAAGCAACTTTGTGACAATTTTTCTGAAAGCCTTCTTTAATTCAAAAGCTTGTCTAAAATTATTGCCATAAATAAAATTTATGTAGTTTTATACTAACTCCATTTATAATTATATATTTTATTTCTAATGCCGGTGTCTAATTTCATGCTGATATATGTCCAATAATAGAAATTTGATTAAGATTTTTAATGTCTTATTTATGCTAGTTTCCTTGTTTTTCTTCAACTCACTACTAGCTACTATAATTAATTATTCGTCGCATGAGTTGATTTGTGCAAGTTTTCCACCAAAATGTCCATTCTCTATTCTACTTTCATTCAATGAGTGCAAATTTTCAAAATTTTCCACTGATTACCGTAGTCGAAATCGTTGCCGTTGGCATAATTCCCACGATTGGATTTAAGGTTGATGTGTGTTTCGTGCATTCAAAAATAACCAATTGCTGTTTCAAGCGCACCTTTCTTTCTAAAAATAGGCTGTTTTTTTTCGTAAACGTGTGAATACTATGAGAGTATGGAATCAAATTTGTATAATAGAACTCATGTGCTTACTCATATCCGAGTTGTTTTCACTTCCAAATTTGTGGAGTTTTTGACATGAGCATACACATGTGCTTGTAAATCAAGCAATCGCTGTGTTGCTTCGCCGCTACTTCAGCGATTTTCGAAAAACGCTGAAAACATTAAACGAAACGTTATCCAGTGAATAAAATTTACGAGCATTGTAAAGTGACACTATTAAAATTCGGAAGGTATGAATACTCTATTTTGAGTTTTCGTTTCTTTGACATTCTCCTTAAAAAAAACCATTGGCAGGAAAATATTTTAGCGAATTTGGCTATTTTACGATTAATTATTGTGTTGTTCGCAGGCGAAGTTCATTAAAATACTCACAAATTATTCGACTTGTCTTGCCCATTCGACGTCATTCAAACAAATTTGCTGTAGAAGACATATTCAAATGAAAACTTCACTGCCCATTATCAAATTGTTTTACTTCATCAATGTTTGGTTTTAAGTTTCTTTTCATTTTCGGATGAAGGAGTAGGGAATGAAGAGATGACGATTTGCATTTTGAAGACTGAATAAATTTGATATGCAAATGTTGCGGAATTTTCAGCTCTTACCACTAGAGAGAAGCATGAAATAAAAAATATAATGATACACTTTTTTTATGATAATTACAGGGTGTCATTTAAGTTCCCGCACAAATGTTTGACACCATGAAGAGCTTGGCTGTTGCACTTTTCGTGCACCAATACAACTTATTTTTGTTAAATAAGGTATATTTTACTTACTTTCCAAGTTTCA